GGCTGATATGGTCAATCAGTTTACCTCATGTGGATATGCCTGCCTTTTAAAACATCAAATTTCTGGCCCCACAGTCCGCACTGCATGTCTTTTAGGCCCAACAGAGGCCTGAGTCTCCTTAAACTTTTCAGTGTCTCAACCTGATATCCAGGCAGATTATTGCCATGTGAATGCTGAGGAGCTACCTAGATGGCCCACCGTGGCTGGACTGCAGCCTTTAATCAACCGCTGTTAATAGTCAGTTACTCGGCTGAAGCTACAGATGCCCCTCGTTTTCAAGGTGATAACTACACAGGTCTTCTGAATACCAAATGCAATCCCTACAACATCTTTCTGTTACAACAGAGGAAAACTAATACAGAATTAGTAATAAAGTCACTTTCAGTCAGAAGTTGCTCCCTGACATGGCAAATATATATATTCTATATGCAATACTGAATCATGACAGATTGTATCCACAGGAGACAAAACAGCTCTTTCAAATCAAAGCTTCCCTCCTCAAAAATAAATAATTGCATCATGATAACAGGTTTCAGTAAGACACTGGGGCAACACGCTGTGCTGTCTTGATTTTTGGATATATAAACCTGTGTCTTGTTGTTTACTGGATGAATAAACCTCTGGGACATGTGACAGTATGCAAATATAATATGATGAAAATTAAAATACTTAATTAGTACTTGGTAAACATTAACTAATTGAACCTTACAGTACTCTCAAGCACCTAGCTACTACTATTTATACTCGATAGATACTGACCCTGCAGTTAAATAAGCTGCTTGCAGCCACCAATGGAATTGAGATCAGAGCCGTGATTAGCGCTCAGAAGCTCCTGACTCACGGTGGTTTCATGTTACGGTGACACTGATCTATCAGCAACTTGTGACTGAAAAGGGAGGCCTGCTCTACATCTCCCCCCGGCTCCTGTTGCCTGTCTTGCACTAGATTTAGCAGTCATGCCACCACACAGCCAAGCCACACGAGCTCAATGCCAGACACCCTGAAGCTACTGCAGATGTATGGGGACCTCACCTCTCAGGGAGACTAAATTCACTGTACATGCAGTGTGGGTATCTCCACACCTCAGCAGGAAGTCCAGCGTGTTAGACTTGTTCATGTGGGTGGTATAAGGAACGGGCAGATGTTGCATCTAGAGCCCCACCAGTCCTTAGGATGGCCCGGCAGGACGGCCCCCTTACCTACACAATGTTCTGATAGAAAGCAGTCATCTCGTGCATAAGGTATAAAATGTCTATAGGCTAGCAGGATATCTTTAATCCAACGTTCTTAGTAAAAACTTTCCTTTCTGCCTTACTGTCTTTAAGATTTTTGAGTCATTAAGGAAACGCCACCATGGTTAACCTTCTGCTGCTATTTGTGCTGGTTTACAGTAAGAGTAATTATTGTTCTGAATTTCTGAATCTTTGGTTTTGATGAAACATGACTGGGTTTTTTTCTTACTCTTTCAAAAAAAAAGATTTTAAGGTATATTTTATTCACTGAAGAATTCACTTATTTTTCATTTTGTCACAACTTGGTACTATATTTATATACGAGTTACATTTCACTGAAAACAGAGGAACAGACTGTGTTCCAAAATTTAGCTCATCAGTATATATTGATAATTGCATATCTAATAGTAAGGCTGTAATTAGGATCATCCCCACAGCTCAGGTTATTCTTGGCTCTGAGGTCATAAGCATACTCAGTGACTCAACCAACCATCGTAACTCTTAACCACCTGGTTTTCATTGCTTGAAATAAGTTCATTAAATAAGGAGCATGCATACTTGGTAATTACCTCCTCTACGCAGCAATCGCTGTGACTGGGCTGGCAGGCAAAATGCTCCCAGACTGTTGGGAAGACTGCTCCCTCATCCCAAGCAGTGGGTGCTGCCTCCCCTCCCATCCACAATGCTACGTAAATGAAGGACAAAGCACTGAGAACCCGCTCAGACCTTTGATCTCCTAGCTCACAGAAGCCCCTGGTCCTGCTAATCTGCAGCTGCTCCTGCTTTCTGCATTCCCCATATTTTCATGTGCCTGCAAGCCATCCATATGTCTCCAGCTTTTCAGCTGACCATTCCAGCTCTTTCAAATTTGCTTCTCTCCTATTCATGGCAACTGCTCCTCTTGTCATCCCTGTTTTTCCTACTCCATCGTATGCCCCATGAGCTGGCCATATCGCCTGCCTTCCTCCATTTCTCTTCCTTTATTCTCTTTCTGATACACCCTGACATACCTGAGCACCTTTGCAGCTTCTGACACTTCCAAACTTTCCTTCTCCTTCCATTCTCCACATGACCGTTTCTCCAGATAAGGTCTCACTTTACGCCTTTCCACACTTGTGTCTCTGGCATCTTCATTTCGGTCTTTCCCCTTACCTTCAGAGCGCTCATTGGGCTCCTCAGTGGACTCCTCTCCCCTTCTGGCTCCAGAAGATATCATGAATAGTGCTAGGAAAAAAAAAAAAAATTTAGAAAGAGTTTGTACTAGTGAACTTGAGAAAATTAAAACACTCTGGGTACAGATCAAAAAGGGCAAAGCATTAAGCTCCACAGGTATACAAGTTACATAATCCAGCACCTTCTTCAAGGTTAATTGTCCTATGGATATTAACTATGAAGTCCTTTTGAAAAAAAAAAAAAAGAGGTATCATTCCAATACAGTACACTTTACAAAGATAATTTAGATAATTAAGATATTGGTGGCAACAGTCTCTGACCTTTGTAAAGTTCCCAGAAAAAAACCCTTGATCAACACAATTTATACTGGAATGTAATGACTCAGCAATTGCAATTTTTTTGTGCACAGTGATTTCTAGAACTAGACTTTACATCTGCAAGGAGCAAACAGAAAACTGGAGCATGGAGGAACAAAGAGTTAACATTTGAGCAGTTTAACTGAACATTGAAATATTTTATAAACAGCAGGCTCAATTTTCAAGTTGACTCTGAACTTCTTGGTTTAATGTTTAACAACTTTGTCAGCGACATGGACAGTGGGATTGAGTGCACCCTCAGCAAGTTTGCCAATGACACCAAGCTGTGTGGTGGGGTGACACGCTGGAGGGCAGGGATGCCATCCAGAGGGACCTGGACAGGCTGGAGAGGTGGGCCTGAGCAAACTTCATTAAGTTCAACAAGGCCAAGTGCAAGGTCCTGCCCATGGGTTGGGGCAATCCCAAGCACAAATACAGGCTGGGATAGAGAACAGCCCTGAGGAAAAGGACTTGGGGGTGTTGACTGACAAGAAGCTCAACATGACCCAGCAACGCGCTCTTGCAGCCCAGAAAGCCAACTGTATCTTGGGCTGCATCAAAAGAAGCGTAGCCAGCAGGTCGAGGGAGGCGATTCTCCTCCTCTACTCTGCTCTTGTGAGACCCCACCTGCAGTGCTGTGTCCAGCTCTGGGGCCCCCAACATCAGAAGGACATGGACCTGTTGGGGCGAGTCCATAGGAGGCGACAAAGATGATCAGGAGCTGGAGCAGCTCCCCTGTGAAGCCAGGCTGAGAGAGCTGGGGGGGTTCAGCCTGGAGAAGGCTCTGGGGAGACCTTAGAGCAGCCTCCCAGGGCTTAAGGGGGGGACAGGAAAGGTGGGGAGGGACTCTGTCAGCAGGTGTGGGGATAGGATAAGGGGTAACGGTTTTAAACTGAAAGAGGGTAGATTTAGATGAGATGTGAGGAAGAAATTCTTCCCTGTGAGGGTGGTGAGGCTCTGGCACAGGGTGCCCAGAGCAGCTGTGGCTGCCCCCTCCCTGGAAGGGTTCAAGGCCAGGTTGGACGGGGCTGGGAGCACCCTGGGCTGGGGGAACGTGTCCTTGCCCATGGCACGGGGGTTGAACCTAGGTAATCTGTAAAGTCCCTTCCAACCCAAACCGTTCCACCATTCTGTTTTGGCTTTTTGACAGCTGTAGCATCTTACAGCTGTCCCTGTAGGGTTTCTGGGTGTTTTTGTTACCCTTAACAGTACCTGTCGGCAACCTAAACTCCAGCTCAGATTCTGCACCTGTTACACATTAAATATTACCAGGGATTAGTTAGGCTCATTTTCCATACCTTACTGATGCCGAATTACAGGTATTAAGTCAACCACATAGCATGAAGTTGTTTGTACCGAGAAACAAATAAGCAAGCAGCTGGCTTTGCAAACACACCCAGCTTATGTGAGCTAGAGGATTTTCTTTGACTGAAGAAGTGGAGTTTGGGTTCTGGTTTCCTTACTGTCAAGGATGGTTTTAATTCAATTTTATGACTCTTCTTATTACATAGCTCTCTGGAGAGAATATCCAGTCCTTGGAAGTTGAAAAAAAATTTTTTTCTCATGCTGGAAACGTATCCTGGTATAAACATGTGAGGTGTACTACCAAACTTTCGAGTACTGGAAGCTGGAGCTAAACTGGCTCGAAACGATGGACAAGCAGGCTTCAGTAAAGATGCGAGCACTCTCCCAGTGTCCACGCACCTGTTGAGAGCATCCGCTGCTAAACAGCGAACTTCTCTGAGGAAGTGCTGTTGGTTAGAAGCACACTTACGGGCAAGGACGAGACACAAGCAAAGCAATAAGCACTCGTCCCAGGCGCAGACGGCGGGCTGTGCGCGCAGGCTGAGGGCAGGCCCGGCCATCGCCCCACCACAGCAGGTTAACGCGCGGCCAGCGGGACCCCGCGTGCGCGGGGGAAGGGAGCAAAAGCCGAGCAGCACACGCCGGCTTTAAACTGCGGCGGGAAGGGGCGGGGAAGTGGCGCCGCTGCCCCCTCAGGGCCCGCCGCCATGGCTGCCCCGCGATCTCCGCCCACCCCGGGCGGACAGCGGCGCAGGCGTCGGCCCGGCTTCCCGTCGTCGTCGCTCCGCTTCCGGGTCGGCGGGGGAACGGGCGGCGGCGGCGGCAGTGGCAGCCGCCGCGCTGCCTGGGGCCGGGGCGGGGGAGCGGGTCCGCGGCCGCCCGGGCGAAGGGGAGGGCGGGGGAGCGGCGGCATAGCGCGGCGGGGCGGGGTGAGGGCGGCGGGGAGGCGGCGGCGGCGGCCTCCGCCGAGGCCTGGGCCGGTCCGCCGCCGCCGCCGCTGCTGCTGCTCGGCCGATGCGCCCGGCGCGCCCGCCATGGACAAGATCCTGGAGGGGCTGGTGAGCTCGTCGCACCCGCTGCCGCTGAAGCGGGTGATCGTGCGGCGGGTGGTGGAGTCGGCGGAGACGCCGCTGAGCCAGGCGCAGTGCCGCGCCATGTTCGCCCTCAGCACCCGGCTGGTGCTGCAGGGCCCCGACCCCTTCCAGCGGCAGGTGGGGCGGCAGGTGCTGGAGGCCTACGGGCGCTACCACCGCGCCGAGTTCGAGGCTTTCTTCGACCGCGGGCTCGTCCTCGGCCTCCTGCAGCGCGGCTACGGCGAGCTGAGCAACCGCGACCCCGCCATCCTCGACTACATCCAGGCGGGGCTGCGCCTCATCATGAGCTGCCCTTCGGTGCTGGAGCTCTTCGAGCTGCTGCAGGTCGAGGCGCTGCGGCTGGTGTGCGAGCGGCCGGCGCCGCCGCTCTGCGCCCGCCTCTGCCAGCTGCTGGGCGACTTCCCGCAGTGCCTGCCCCGCGGCAGGAAGCTCTCCCTCGCCTTCTGCCAGCAGCTGGTGCGCAGCATCGCCCACTTCCAGAGCCAGGGCAGCCGGGAGGCCGAGTTGCGCCTCTACGTCTCGCAGGTCACGCAGGTCAGCGGGCTGCTGCGGAGCGTCTGGAAGGCCGAGCCCGACACCTTGCTGCCCTCGCTGCAGGAGCTCTTCGCCGTCATCTCCGCCGCCGGTGAGCCCCGGGGAAAAGCGGGGGGGTGGGGGGTGGGGGGTGGTGAGCCTGGCAACCGAAAGCAAAAGCCCTGCCCCCAGCACCGCTCGCTTTCCAGGCGCTGCCGTCGAACCGTTGCTTCCTCGCCCAGGTGCAAAAATGCAACTTTTTGCCCACCGAGGAAGCAGAGCCTTTTCTTCCCACCCCCTACGAAGAAAAGTTAGAGGTGAAACGGTGCTGCAGAGCAGCACGGTTTTGGGGAAAAAAAAACAAACAAACAAACAAACAAAAAAAAAAAAAAAAAAAAACAAACCAAAAACAAAACCTGTTGCAATGCTTTAAATGATATACCACTTCTGGGTGGGAAAACTGAAACCCTTTCTAAACTAATTAGGGAAAACTGAAACTCCCATTATCAAAAACTGCTCTTCCTCCAGAGGCATACCTTAGGTCTTGGAACTGCATAGCCTACAAAACTATACGTAGGCTACACATATAGCATATATATACATATACATAGGGGTGTATGTAAGGAATATGTGAAACATGGGTATTGTAGGAAGGATTCACTGCCCGAGTAATGTAGGTGGGATTGTGAATAGGTCCTTTCTGACCTCAGATATCTAAGAAGTATTGTATTGGCTCACGTTGGAAAGTGCCTTTGCTGTTGAGGCGTTTGGGGAACTTAACAGTATAACACTGCATTTTGCTATAACTGGTGTGGTTAACAGGCAGTTGTTGAGGTGGGACATGGGAAATATCAGCTGCTTTGGATCCTTAAGTTCAACATCAAGTATGAGAAACAACTGTATGGTACACCTTTTTAGAAGATTACCCCTTTTCTCACTTCCATTGAGGAGGAAGTTGGCAGATTGTCTTTTCATTGCATGGGTAATAGGTGAATGAAAGGAGCTTGTAATTCAGCACTACTCCTTGTCCTTAATCCATTGAAACTTTTAAATTTTGTTTTGGTTTGTGATGATAGAATGTTAGATGTAGCATAGATTCATTGTCTCAAAACCTTACAACTACAGTGAAGTTGTAGGATAAAAGTTAAAGCGTATTTTTTGTGTGGGTTTCTTTTCGTTTCTTACATTGTGTCATATTCAACTGTTACAGATACTTCCTTTGAACCTTCCGTTGCACTGGCAAGTGTTGTGCAGCATATACCATTACAGATGATTACAGTACTCATCAGGAGCCTTACTACGGATCCAAATGTGAAAGATGCAAGTATGACTCAAGCTCTGTGCAGGTACTGTATTTCATTGTAAAAGGGGGACAGATCGTTTATTCTTGACTTTTTTGAAGTTATTTGTCACTTAAGTTGCATTAAAAAAAAAACCAAACCTAACCAAAAGCAATCAAAACCAAAAAAAAAACCCCACTTCTAAAATGGTGGTTGAAGTTATACTGTTTAGGATAATATATATTTATGATGCTGCACATGGTTCTCTCCTGGTTTGAGTTTAAGGTTTCTGCCTTTGTTGCTAATGTGGCTTTTTTTCTCATGCTTTGCTAAGGTGGATGAAGAAGAGGGTCAAATAGAAACTAAGAGGAAGCCAGCTGTGTTCTGTTTAGATGACATCTTATGTTTAAATCTCCCACTGTATGGGAGGTGGCATAAAAAGGAAACTTCATGGGGTTTACCATCAAGCTGAGAAACAAGGCCTTGTTTTCAGATGATCAACCTTTCTGGTTTTCAAAGAAGCTGAGTGGCTCTCACATGGTTGTCTTACTCATCATCTCCTCAGAAGAAAGGAGACAAATTAGTTTTGCTGCTTAGTTTTGAGATGTTTTTCTGCTTAGGCATCTTCATGACCTTTTAGTAGGATTCACAGGGGACAGCCTCTCGTTCCATTTTCTCTCAAGCCTCCAGAGGTTTTTTGGATGTCCTTTGAAGGATAGAATAGGAATGATGTAAAAACAGTTGCCTATTATACTTGTCTCTAATCTAAACATGAGTAAACGTTGAGATTAGTAGCACTGTTAACAGACTGCTATCCAGATTGCAATCTTGGTTAGTATCTTTACATACATGAATAATAGTGATGCAGAAAGATGACAGTGGGAGAAAGATGAAGACCTCCTTGAAGTTGTTTGAATTATTCTTTTTAAAGTGTATGGGAGAAGCTATTACTGAGCACTGAAGGGTAGATGAGTAAAGCAGCTAAACAGTTAGAAATCTGTACTGTTTAAAACAATTTTAGGAAAGGCTTTAAAATAATTTCATGTCTGCTCTGTTATTTTTTAACTACACCCATTTGAGTGTAGTGTAATACTTATACATTCATGTAGTGTAGCACTTTCATATCTTGGTGAAATACTGAGGTTCTTTTCGCACTGAAAACATGCTTTGTATTTACGTTAAATTGAGAAGTTGCATTTAATTTGAAAAAATAATTAATGAGAAGAAGCAGAGTTAATATTGTAATTTGGGGTAAGACATATTTCGTAGGGACTTTAAAAGAATATGCCTGACTGAACAGATTTTAACAAAGCTGTGTGCCCAGTCTAAAATTCAAAGCTGAGAAACTGAGAAGGATCTGTGCATGTTAATAATTTGCTAGTAAAGTGCTGGTGATTAATTTTCATGTCAGTGATTTTAACATTTATATTGTATTACTGGCTTCAGCAAAAGGCGATTGTATAATTGTAGCTTTAGAATGGCTTCCCTGTGTGCCTCTGCTTAGGGAAGTAGTGCAGTGCTGAGCTTTGGGTATAATAGGAGTTGTTATTTTCAAGTACCTGCTCTTGCTTAATACAAGCTGTGTGGTGGGTTTTTTCTTCTTGTTTGTGAAAGGGCGGTGCAATCTTATTTGCCTTGTTCATTCTCTGAAAGAATACTTCATTTTAAGAGCCTCTGGTTCTGTTCCATGGAACTAACTATTCAGGTACCCCTTGTTATTTTTGTTTGTAGATACTCTCATGTCAACACTGCATCCAGTTTCTTTTTGTGTGGCAACCCTTTGCAGTAATTACTCTCTTCTGGCTTAGAGGTGTAATTGTAAATAGGATAATGCAGCTGGAATGTCTGGAGCACCAAATGACAATGTTGTCATCAGGGTTGCATCACTCCCAGGGGATGCAGAAGTCCAGGCACAACAAGGTCTCCTGATGAGAGTCAGCAGAGCTTTGGTGACTGCAAATTAGAGACCTTGTTGCTCACTTCCTAAGGATAACTTTCATGACACTGAGTCTCTCTGAAGTTGAACACAGATTAGTAAATAATCTGTAAATAGAAGACTAATAAATTGGATCTGTTCGGTGAGGGGGTTATATTAGGCACAGGTTTGTATAAGAAAGGGTACTTGCTTTTTGGCATCATTGAGCTGTTCTTAATTGGCTCAGCTGTCTCATGAAACCTGATATGAAGTATCAGTGAGGAAAAGCAGAAAACTGTTGAATCTCTTCTGGGATATATGACTACTTTAAGGGTCTACTTCAGAGGTCTCAGATGAAGTTGACTGTCTATGCTCAGTATCCTGACAAGTATAATGCTTGTTTGCACTTTAACCCAAGTATCTCTCAAGAAAAACTGAAAATTTTGCCAAGAAAAACTCCAGACATGACCAGGCCCTTTGACCTGGTGGTAAAAGTGTAAAATATTGTAGAATATGTTACATTTTTTGGGGGGTGCCTGGTAGCGTGAGAATCTTTGTTGCTTTTTTGGTCTCTTTCTAATCAGAGGGACTTGCACCTGAGCTGCCAGCTGCTTTGATGTGGCTAAGACTGTGTTTTTGTGAAAGAAGGTACTGTCTGAGGTTGCAGAGATGATGTTATTTTTTCTGTCCAGAAATACCTTGTTAGGCACATATATGGATAGCTGACCTGCTCATTTTAGGGTAATATGAGGCAGAAGGTCCTCTTGAGGCTTTTAAGGTCCTTTTAATCTGGTCAAACACGAAAAGTATTCTCTGTGGTTTTATTCATGATCATTATGTCCCATATTAATATCTGCCTTTATTAAAAATGCAGTCATTGGTTGCAACAGAGCAGGAGCCAGATAAATGCAATGCAGAGAGGATTTAGTAGCCCAAGTCTCTCATTCACCTATGAGATCTCAGGTTTGATGCTTCTTAGGACAGTCTCAAGCATGTCTACAAGTTTATTTCTGTTTCCTCTGCTGTGTTTAAGAGTGTTGACTCTGCTTTTAAGAGCAGAAACAGATTTTAAGGATGGGAATTCTATCAATAACAAGACAGAGAATGAGGCAAGACAATATGAAGACAGAGAATGAGGCTTCTCTTCACAAGGGTAATCATACTGAAATGATAGTTGTTGTCTTATTAGTAACAAGGTTGAATAGTTTAGTAGCTAATTATACTGGCTAGAGGTGAAACAGGATGGCCCATCACATAACCAGGGCAATGAGTTGGAACACAGGAAGCCCCAACTCTCACCCGAAAGCAGTTTTTCATTTGGAGTTTGAGTCAGTGTGGTTGAAAGTGCATGTAGTATAAAGATGGCCATTGGGTATTTTAGAACAGTGATTCTAATCTAGGGCTCTACCAAATAGTCTTTACTTTTCTAAAAAGTTAATTAAGAGAACCAACTATATTGTCATTAGGCTTAAACTAACTGTGCAGGTGGTTGTGCTGCTGCAGAAAAATATCAAGCCTACAAATTGGGTGGGGGGGAAACGTTTGAAGTCAATAGGACTGTGAGGTTTGGGCCTGTTCTTAAGGTTAATTCTTTGCAGGCAAAAGCAGCTTTGGTCTACTTTTGATTCCCTGTTTTAGAAAGTATATAGAAAGGGTGCTCAGAATAAACGTGGCTGAATTTAACATCTTGAGGAAATGAGAGCTTTGTGTAAATTCAGAGCAATAATTATAATGTTGCCATGTTTTTCCCCAAGTTTTTTTGTAGTAAGATGGAAGAAACCAGATAAGGTCTGTGCTTGATTGTTAAAAAGGCAAGTCTAATGATTCTTGATTTTAGAGAAATCTTTGAATGTTATTTGTGCAGATAAAACATAATTCTAAGATACATCAGTCTTAGGATATGTGTACTATGCATTTTTCAAATCCTAACTAGAAACTCTATGTAAATGTTTATGGTGACACAGCATGCCTGAAATATGTGTCTGGTGTTGTTAAAGACCATGCTTTTCTTTTTAGTTTGGAATCTGAGGACTGTAACCCTGATTTCAGTCTGTTTGGAGCTCTTTTAATTTCCAGGAAGAACATAGGGCTGATAGTTTTGCTTCCAGTTGATAATAACTAACTATGCCTATTCATACTGATAGCAACTGTTTATTATACTGATTACTTGTAACCTGTTCAGTTCTGTGCTAGAATTTAGCTTCTTAAAATAATTAATCTTTGAGGAGCTTTTTCAGAAAAGAAGTAAAGCAATATACTTCCTGTTTTATTTGAATTATTGAAAAGAAATGTAGTGTTATGTAGATTGAGTGGAGCCTTTGGAATTTACCTGGTCCAGTCCTGCTCGAAGCAGGGCAAGCTTCAAAGCGAGGCCTTGTTGCTCAGGGCCTTCTCCAATCGAGTTAAGAACTTTCTGCAAGGACGGAGGTGCCTCAGCTTTGCTGTGTAACTTGTTTCAATGTCTTTCACCTCATGCTGAAAAAATCTTTCCTTTGCCTTAATTAGTGGTGCCTCATCTGGTTTGAAGAAGATCTTGTAGGCAATTAAAGAAAATGCAAGAATATTGCCAAGTAAAATCTCAGAACAAAGCCTAAATTTCATGTTTTAGCTGGTACTGCCTTACAGTGCTGTGTCTTAGAATTGCTTCAACTCATCTGCTTGTCTGCCTTAGCTATCAATGTAAATTTTCTATTAATTTAGAGGATAAATACCCCTGTTCTCCGTTGCTGATATTTCACTGTATTTTCTAGGCACAGATAAAGTCCCTTTACCTTTCCTTAGTTGTAATGAAATTCTTCCTGTTGGGGCACATGTAGGCCCCAGGCTGCTGGTAGCTATTGTAAGATCCTTAGAACACCTGCTACAGTGTATTTTAAATTACTATATTTTACCTTTCTAACCGAGAGCATTTTAGTTGACTTCCAGGAGCATAGTTCTAAGTTGAAGAGGCTTCTGTTTCAAATTTAAACTTACTAGTTGGTTTTGGTCTGGTTTGAATTAAGAAGCATAGGCGGGGAGGTCTGCAGATACTGACACTTACTCACCTTCAGTACTAGATTTTCGCCATAAAATAAAGGTGTTAGCTTAGTGTCTGTAAAACCAAGATTCGTATTCTTAAATGACAAGTAACATACTATACATGATAATTAATTTTATGTGCTGAAGGATTTGGGGGGGGGTTGCTTTTAATGTATGAAATTCTTATTAGTTATGGAGGTAAGTGTCTTGAGATAATAAAAATTATGTTTCTACTTGCCTAACAGTCTTGTATTACTTCTTATGAGTCTCTGTAACTACCTGACTAACATACAGAATCCTTTTGTTGAGATTAAAATTAGTGTTGTCTTGCATTTTTTTATTCTTACTCATTTTTCATTAATCTTTCAGAATGATTGACTGGTTATCCTGGCCTCTGGCTCAGCATGTGGAAACATGGGTGATTGCACTGCTGAAGGGGCTGGCTGCAGTCCAGAAATTTACCATCCTGATTGATGTCACTCTGCTTAAAATTGAGTTGGTATGTTGGAAAAGAACATTCAAAACTGAAGGAGTGGGAAAGGCATTTGTAGCAGCTACGCAGTTGTGTAGCATCTTTTGTATGGCAACATAAGTTATCTTCTTATTCTGCAAAGATGATGTAAATGTATCTGTAGCTTTTGGTTGCATGTAATGATTGTTTTAAATGGTTATGGATTTGGAGATCTGTTGAAAGTTTTACTGAAATTTCACTTTCTAGATTTACTGAAATTGATGTGGGTTTTTTTAGGTCTTTAATCGACTTTGGTTTCCTCTAGTGAGGCCTGGTGCCCTTGCTGTCCTTTCCCACATGTTACTTAGTTTTCAGCATTCTCCAGAAGCTTTTCATTTGGTAAGTTACTAAATAAATGGTTTTAAATTCTTTGAAATGTCATTCGTGCGTGTCTTCTAAAGTAGATGTAAAGAGTAAGAGAATTCATGCGCTCGGATTTCCTCTTTGTTTCAAGGCTCTAGAATCAGGTTTCTGTGCTTCACAGATTACTAGGCTTTCAGACTTCCAGGTTGCACCACTTTAATCTGTGACTGGAATCGAGCATTGTTCTTCCTGGTATGTACATATTTCTGGCAGTGGTATCTGGGCACTGCATTCTGTCTTTGACTGTATGCCTCCAGAAATCCATTTTTGTGGTGTGTAGTCTACTCATAAAGTTGTCTGCAGGTAGACTTTCAAGCACAACTATTTGGGGAAAACAGATAACCAACCATCTGCTATAGGTAACCTACCTAGTCACCCTGCATAGGTGCATGAGACCAAGAAGTACTTCGAGAAAGCTACCCTCTCTGTGTTTCAGTGTACATAGGGGCAACTGAAGGATACTATTTTTAATGGCTGCTCTTCAAAATGCAGTTCACCAGTTAGTGGTAGATATTTGGGCATGACAACTGTATTGGTACAGCAGGATGTATAGTGCCTTCCCTGTTCTCATACTCAGTGTTTAGCTTAAAATTTAAGTGAAATGTGGGTCCTTCACGGTTAACCATAGTAACAGCCTGGCACACTGTTTCTCTAAGCTGTCCCCAAGGTTCTTAGGCCTTAAGGGATCACAAGTCCTTTGATTAGTGTTGGAGTAATTGCCTTATGCCTATTGCACTGGTTTTTAATGATAAAAGTCTGAAGTTCCTCTCTTCCCTCTGCTGCCCTAATCTTTGCCTGGGATAGAAATTTGAGTCACAAATGAAAGAGCCAAGTAGTGTTGAGTGTGCTCAAAATGTGCATATTTCATGTATTTACTGTCTTGCTTTTCTTTATTCCTGAGAGACAAAACATTCCTGAGAAAAATGTGAAGTATGAGAAGGTTTGTTGTAGGAATAGGTGTTTGCTTTAACAAGGAAAGCTTCTACCATAGCCTGCATGCAATATTGCATAAACATCTGTTTTCAGGACTTTGTGACCATTCTCCCTCCATTTTTAACAACCTTCTTCACTACCATTTTTTGAGCTACTGCTGTCATTTAGTATCCTATAATAGTTTCCTGTTCACTTCTCATAAAAAATGGTCTGAATGTAAAATGCTTAAATACACATGTGATAAATATAAATGAATTTATTTTGCAATGCTTCTGAATTAATGTTCTCCTTCACTATGCATGAAAATCATTAGCATAAATGAAATTTTTTTATAGGAGATAAACACTCTGATTTGTACCTATGATGTAGAACTTACCATGATATGAGTACTATGGAATTCTAAAATCTACTGATGTATAAAACTTTAATTCAACCTCAAGCCACAAGTGATACTTCTGTGTGTGTTCAAAGTGTAACTTTGAGTATTATGCAGCATGCTGTGAGGAAGAATTTGGCACTCAATTTGAGAGAAATGAGAACTTGTACTTTTTCTGTTCTTCCCATTTGCTTTGTCTATGCAAAATTATCATATCTCAGATCTACTTCATACAAATCTTATTGTTGGAGCTCAATAGTTACTTTCTCATTGTTATGTATCCACATTTATAAAGCGAAAGAGGGAAGTTTTTCATTGCAGCTTTCACTGTTGACTCCGTAGTACACTGAACACTTAATCTTGGTGTGTTACTTTTTAAAGAGTGGATATCTTGCTTACCAAGAGAGTAGGGTTTGTTTCTTTGAGACATAAAAATATTCCTTAAACCTAGAGAACAACTGATATTTGAGAAAGTGGCAAATGAGTATTTTTACCTGTCCCCTTTTACTTTGGTGTTCTGAAGTATATTAATTCCTGTAATTGGTATACTTTCCTAGAATTAGAATATTCTTGTCATTTCTGTTCTGTATTTCATGTCTTTACTACCAATTTGTAACCTACTTTGTGATGAGAAATTATTCCATCCACTCCTTTCACAGTTAATCAATTTTGATCACTTAGCAACTGACAGAGGTGTCTAAAATATTTTGGTTCACAGTGACAAGTCCCTACTCCTTGGGATTGCATTGAAAAAACTTTCTACTTGCTGTTCTAAGACTAATGTAGAAAAAGTCTCATGGATTTAAAGATACAGAGCTGTGCTGAAGAAGGGAAAGGACGTGGAGTAAACATTTCTGATTTATACCCAATTTAAAATACTAATGAATCTGAACTAATCTTCAAAAAGATTACCATACCCGGGTTTAGCTTTTTTAGCTCATAGAAAGTTGCTGTTTTAGTTTATTGAGCCTAGCTCCCTCACTAGGTGGAGCTATGAGCCAGTTTCCGCCTTGTAAACTGAAATAGCATGAATGTATTCATTGGCTTTGGATCCCAAGCATTAGATTCTGTTTAAGGAAAATTGAGAGGTTTGTTTTAAAAACTATATCCATGAAATTAGAACAGGATACTGCACTGTTAGTGGTGGCTCAAAAGCAAAATGTTTGATGTTAATACCTTTAACAAGATGAGTACTTTGGACATTTGAGGCTGTTTAAAATCTTAACGTGCATTTTTTAAGTTCATGAAGTTCCAAAACGTGATAGGTGAGCTAAGGAGACCATTGAATAATTAATTGTGCTGTTTAAAAATTGTCATGAGTAAAGAATAACATGTTTTTCAAGCTGTTGTTTCTCAACCAGTTCCTACTTAAGAACAAAGGGTCCCACCCCGCCCCCCTCCCCCCCCCCCCCCCCCCCAGTCATTTGGTATATGTAAAACAGTAAGGTTGTTTGTAGAACAAAAAAAAAAAAAAAAAAGGAAAAGTGTTATTAACACTCTTTTTTGTTTGTTTTCCCATTCAGATTGTCCCACATGTGGTCAGCTTAGTTCACTCCTTCAAAAGAGACGGCTTACCTTCCAGTACTGCCTTTTTAATGCAGTTGACTGAATTGATACACTGTATGATGTATCATTATTCAGGATTTCCAGAGCTCTATGAACCCATTCTGGAAGCTGTTAAGGTATATTGGGAACATTAAGAGGGTGGAATGGTTTTGGATTGTTTCTCAAAAATGAAAGCTATAATCCCATAGATCTAAATTCTTTAGGATTTCTGCTAGGAAAAAGGAGCTAACCACGTAATCTAATGTCAGTTCAGTTTGAAATAAGCTAGAAAAACTGTCCTGAGTGTCAATGGTGTATTTATAGACAGACTTTAAGAAAAGCCTTTATTAAAAGTGCAATCTAATTTCTTAAGTCTTATGTACTTTTGTATATATGTACTCATATACTTTTGTGAGGTTTAGTCTAGGCATTTCGTTTCAATGCAACCTAGAAACTGTAACTCTTCAAATTATAAATTCAGAGCACTGATAGTATTGAAGAGAAGTAGGTTCTGAGGGATCATTTGGCATGGTGTTAGCTGCAGAACACCATTATTAAGCACTACACCTTAATACTGCAGTCAATACTACGTGCCTCTGAGTAAAGGAACCTAGCCTATACCATTTCAAAGCAAAATTTGGCTTTTTTAGGTAAATATTTAAATCATGTACTTGAAAAATAATAATAAAAATACCCAACAAACAAAAAGAACCCATCTCAAAAGAAATAAAAGAAACCTACAAAATGAAGAAAAACACCACAAAAACCTACTCGAGTATTGCTGCCTTATTTTATAGCAGTAGTATTGCGTTTAAATGTTTTGATGCTTACAAAGCCCTTATCAATTTAATTCCAAGTATTCTGGACTTTATTCTTTCATTCATATATTTTGATTTGATAGAGAAGGAATGTATTTCTAGCAGAATAGAGAATGATTTAGGGATCTGGTAAAGCTTGACATTTGAGAGGTGGTTTTTGGTGGCAGAAAGGATTCTGTGAATATGCAGGTCAAAGGTGACCACCAACCTCCTACTCCTGCAATTTGAGAGTTGAGTAAAGAAAGCTTTGAAGAGGAGGGCTTGGACGGGGGTGGTGGGATGGGTTGTATTTTCTAGGCTATCAGGGATATCAAGACCGTCTGAAAGAGAATACAGGAGCAAGTGAAGGTACAAGACTGCTGTATGGCAGGACCTATTACAAAAACAAATACAAAAACCTATTAAATGTGTTAAATATTTCTCTTGTAGGATATGCCCAAACCCACTGAAGAGAAGATTAAGTTGATTCTCAGTCAGAGTGCCTGGACTTCTCAATCCAGTTCTTTGCCATCTTGTTTATCTAGACTTTCTGGAAAATCTGAAACTGGGAAGACAGGTCTAATTAATCTAGGAAATACTTGCTACATGAACAGTGTTATTCAGGCACTTTTTATGGCTACAGAGTAAGTTGTTTTTAACAGCTCGTTTCATTGCAAATTAATTATTGCAGTTGTTGCATTCTTGCTTTTCACAGAATATTAATATCATCTGAGGTGTCTCAGCTTGCTAGAGCTGAGTGGGTTTCTTTGCACTCAGTTACTAAAAATCCTTATCCTTCTGTGCAGTGTCAGAAGACAAGACCCTTTTTCCTCACTGTTTCTGCTCCCTTCAGTATTGTAAAAGTTTATGGTGGTGCTTTTGCTACAATCTCAAAGCTATTGGAAAAAAATTTTGTCTCTCTAGCCCATTCTTACACATTTAAATGTTTAAAGAAATAGAGGGGTTTGTAGTTAGTTCTTACTGTACAGTGGTTTTGCATCTGCACTGGAACAGAATCCAGGTGTTGAAGGGATGTGTTAGGTGTCTTGCTTTCTTTCAAATTGAAGTAATTATCTGAGCTGGAATGATAACTGCATTGTTGTTAGAGTTCTAGCAAACAAACTAATGTCTGTCTTTTATTTCCAGTTTCAGAAGACATGTTTTATCTCTGAATCTAAATGGGTGTAATTCACTAATGAGAAAATTACAGCATCTTTTTGCATTTTTGGCTCATACCCAGGTATGTCAGCTTATTTTATCTGCTGTTATTTAAGCCTAGATCTATGTACCAAAATTTAGGAACAAACATGATACGATGGGAGTCTTCCTGAGTATATTAAAAATATAAATATGATAGATATATAGGGGAATGAGTCTGACTCCAAAAGCTCAGATTATGAGGATGGGCCTAGAGAAATCTGGATTTCCGAAGTGGAACATCTTTGCACTGTGGTGATTTTATAAACGGTTAGTAACAGGTTTTCTTTGAGAAGCCAAAATGAAAAAAATCCAAGTAAGAACCGAGTTGATATGCAAGTTGACTTTATGTGACTTTCTAGGGTAAATTGTGACTTTCTGCAATAATTTTTACACTAAATTTTTTTGTAGCTCAATTCTAAAGTTAACTTTATTAAACGTTCAGAATATTTTGTTAGTATGAGGAAGTCATGACAATTGTGTTCTCTTTGATTAATAACAACAAACTTGTTTGCAGAGGGTGAGGTTGGATCACCTTAAAAATAAATTGGTACTTAGAAAATACTGGTGGTGTTCTGAAGACAGAAAACATTAAGCTTGCCAGCAAGAACAGTAACTGCTATTACACATCTGGTTTATACTCACTACACATTTAATATTTGCCTGCAGGATCTTCTACTTTTATCTTTGTACTAGAGGTGATTACGACAAACTTAATGGCACTCTCTTCCTATGATTAAGTAGATTAAATGTTTGTTCCATGTGTTTCATACAGTTCCTCTAGAATAATGTAATCCAAAGTTCAGTGGTCAATATCAAAATAATATAACTAATTTTTTAAGTAGTTCTAATGTAACCTTGTCTGTCCCTCTCTTACGTGAACAGAGGGAGGCATATGCTCCTAGAATTTTCTTTGAGGCTTCCAGACCACCATGGTTCACCCCTCGATCCCAGCAGGATTGCTCAGAATATCTCAGATTCCTGCTAGACAGGTACAGTTATTGTGCCATTAATGGGAATGAATCTACAGTCTTATCACATAATGTTGAACTCTTAGGAGGAGTCACATAACAGTTCCACTGCATGAGTGGGGACCAGGAATTCTGGGCCTCGTTCCTGGCTGTCTCTGTTTTTTTTTGTATGGTCTATGAAGCACTTTTCTTTGTGGGTTTGATCTGTGGTAACGTCTGGATACCATCTTGTATTCACATCATTTAAAGCAGATTATCGTGTTAGTAATTTTCTATTTGTAAAAATCTAAATTTGTGTGTTATGTTAGAGTCATGGTCCTGTTGTAAAATCAGAGTAGCTGCTGAAAGCAGTTCAGTCCTGCATCTGGAATTTCATGTTGGTGGAGACAGCTGTATTTTACGAAGGCCAGATAAGTCATGAAGAGATGTACATGCATTTATAAGTAGTTTAATAAACAAGCAAATTAACTGTGGCACATGTAAAATACCTAAATTTATTAGTAGCCCTCTAATTTTGGCTTGCTGAGATGTAGCTTAAACAAGATTGCTTTAATGTACGTTTGACTTCTGGAAAATTTTATCTCAATAGTGCAGTAGTGTTCTCTCCCCCCCCACACCCCTCTTCTTGGGTTTCTCTTTTGGTTTGGTTTTTCTTGCTGTAGTTTAACTTCCTTGGCTACAAAATCCTGACCTTTTCTTTTCTTTGGAAATAGTCTGACACCAGATAAATAGCTACTTGTTCTCTTATAAAATCTGACATGCAGAACCAATCAATTAGAGAACTGATTTATTAAGATAATGTAATGGTAAATAGCAAAAATGTTGTTTGTCAGATTTTTAATACTTACCAGTTCTCTTGTATGTAATGAAACTCACATTAAATGTATTTGTATTCTCATACTCTGTTTTGGATAGTACTGACCTGTATGGTTCAGTTTGCTTGTATAAGAAACAACGAATAGCTTTTCTAATGTAAGACACTTCTAGCCACTTAACCATCTCCATTTTTTTAGCATAACTGGAAAGAAAGTCTGAAACGGTGCAACAATATTTGTTTGGAAAATAGCACAGCTACTTGGATTTATTTTTCTTTGTCTTCAGGCTGCATGAAGAAGAGAGAACCTTGAGAGCATTATCTTCAGCAAAGACTTCTGAAAGTATAGTGAGTGAAGAGTCCCAGACACAAGAAGCTGTCCATAAAGCACAAGTATTTGCTGAAGCACCTTATATAGGAAGTGAAGAAAGAACTCTAATAGAGAAGATGTTTGGAGGGAAATTGAAGACCACTATATGCTGTTTGAACTGCAAAAGTATGTCTCAAAAGGAAGAAGCTTTCACAGATCTCTCTCTGGCTTTCTGTCCTCCAACTTCCTTGCAGAATGTTGGCGCAAAATGTATGGAACGTTCTGAAGTGAAAGATGACTACATGGTGCAAAACAGTACTTCAGCAGCTAGTCCTGCTGGAGGAACACCTCTCAATGATATAGAAGTAAATGGTGGATGTGACAAAATCATGAATGAAGGAAACATAAAAGATTTTTCTACTGAGCCAAACTCTGAGAATACCACAAATTCTGAACTCAACAAAGTTCAAGATAATAGGGATATGTCTCAGAGGCTAGTAGGTGAAAACACCCTGTCAGTTACAGACTTACTGAATTATTTTCTGGCACCTGAGATCCTCAGTGGAGACAATAAGTATTATTGTGAAAAGTGTGCCTCTCTGCAGAATGCTGAGAAAACTATGCAAATCATTGAGGAACCAGAATACCTCATTCTCACACTTCTGAGATTTTCATATGATCCAAAGTGTCATATAAGGCGCAAAATCTTGGACAATGTGTCTCTGCCACTTGTTTTGGAACTGCCAGTCAAAAGAACATCCCCTCTATCTGTAGTTTCAGGAGGTTGGTCTGTTGGTGTTGAAATTTCTGATATTGGAGAAAATCTCGCTAAAAAATTGAAGCCCTCAGGTGCTGATGAAGTGACTTGCCCACAACTCGTGCCCTATGTGTTAAGCTCTGTGGTGGTGCATTCTGGTGTATCCTCTGAAAGTGGACATTATTATTCATATGCTAGAAATGTTACTGGGTCAGGTCCTTCAGGACTCTGCCACCAGTCTACAGCTCTTTCTTTAGTTTCTCCTCAGGATAAGTTGTTGACAGAGGAGAGTCCTTGTACTGTTGTAGAAAATGAGCTGGACACAGAGGTGCCAAGAGAATGGTTTCTGTTTAATGACAGCAGAGTGACATTCACCTCCTTTCAGTCAGTCCAGAAAATTACCAGTAGATTTCCAAAGGACACTGCTTATGTTTTATTTTACAAAAAACAAAATAGCACCTGTGGTTTCAGTACCAGTTCGGCAAATGGACTCTGGATAAATGGAGACCCTCCCCTACAAAAAGACCTCATGGATGCAATTACAAAAGATAACAAACTGTACTTGCAGGTAAGACAGAAATTGTATATGAAGAGTGGTGGCCTTAAAACTCACAAGAGAGAGTCTGAAAGAAAGAAAAAGTTTTTAAATATTCTGGTATATTAACCTTATAAATCACGAATCTTGCTTCCATCTTGATATTGCTAGACAGGCTTTCTAGTGAGGTTGTTACCATTAGATGGGAGTTGTCAAGAGAAATGGATTAAACTCATTTTGGTTTAAATTTTTATTCAAGATGCTTGTATAGGTCGTTTAACCACTTATAATTTTATGCAGGAGAGGCTTTTCAAACCATTCTAATTTTCATTGCCTTTAATAAATTATAAGAGTAGCTAAAGTATGCTTAAGAACTTCTTTGTGGTATTCTTACTAGCACACTTCTATTCAGAGTGGTTTTATTTATACAACTGTGCTTACCCAAATACTAAAACCACTAAAATGAAGACCAGATGCTAGTGACTAGGTTCTGCTTTCCCTTTGCTGCCTATTCTGCCTCCCTCTGTGGGACCAGCACTGCCAGCCACACATTCCCTGTGCTTTGAAAACTGTAGTAGCCTCTTTGATTTCTGTTAGAATAAAAAAAAAAAAACCAACCAAACAAACAAAAACAAAAAGAAACAACACCAAACTACTGTTCTCCATATTTCTGTATGGTTTGCTTTGAGCACTGCTGCTATGTTTGGATGGTGTAACAGTAAAAGTGTGTTTTACTGTGTCCTTTTTAAGTTAAGCTGTTCCTGCAAGAGTTCTAGGCTTACTCAAATTAGAAGAGCTATGCAATCTCCTATTAGACAAGAACAGCTAAATCTCACTGTGGAAAATCTGTTATAATAGCTGCAGGTATTTTACAAACATGAACAGGGAGTTTAAATTGCAACTCTGCTGCTGTTTTCACAGTGTGTGGTTAAAGCATTTGTTTTCTAACGGTCTCAGTTTATATGCCACCTTTTCTCTTGACTGCACAGGGTAGTACAAAACATGGCTTCTTTAGCAGCAATCTGAGATCATAGAACCATAGAATGGTTTTGGCTGGAAGGGACCTTAAACATCACCCAGCTCCACCCCCCCTGCCCCGGGCAGGGCCCCCTTCCCCCAGCCCAGGGTGCTCCCAGCCCCGTCCAACCTGGCCTTGAACCCTTCCAGGGAGGGGGCAGCCACAGCTGCTCTGGGCACCCTGGGCCAGCGCCTCACCACTCTCTTTGCAAAAAGTTAGTTATTTGGTGCATATACACAAAAATCGTTTTTTTATCATCTTCTAGACTAAAGCTTTCTCTACAGAACGTGTAGAGGAAGTTATAAAAAGCATGCAGTTGTTTTTTCTTACAGTTTACAAGTGAAAGGCAAGTTAGTAGTTTCTTGAAAACCTTTGCTTTGCAGTTCAAAGAAAAAGAAAATATAGTTTCCTCAAAACAGAAAAAAAAAGTATGTAGTTTTCCTTGGGTTTTATTTACTTTGTGGGTTTTTTAGTTCAGTTTTGTGGTTTTTTTTTTTAATTTATGATCATTTACCGACCTTTCAATTTTGGATTTTCAGTATTGGCTTTCTTTGTAGTACTATACTAATTTCAGAGTTGTTGAGATCTTGTCCTTTTCTCAGTTTAAATGAGGCTGATAAGAAATGCTTAGTTGCTGTTTTTCTCAAATTAATACTAATATCATGATTCACCAAATTAGGTTATGTTATCTTTGGGAAGTTGTATTTCATTGTTATTCAGAGTTCTAAACTAATATTTTCCTGCCAAGTTAAGAACATACTTTTTTTTGTCCCGAGAAAGCCTTTACTTTTTTAGAAGTAAAAAATCTCCATCTTATTGCTTTTGTTTTACTATGGCATACCAGTTTACCACATGATAAATTAAAATGTTTTCACTTAAAATACAAAAAGCTGCAATATGGGCAGCTCCCACTCCAGTTAAAACAAATTAAAAATCCCATTCTGGAAACAAGTGGAAAGCAGGGAGGCGATGTTCTGTGTTATTCTTAGTCCAGAGTACTGTGTTGGCTATCAAGTTTTACTTACTTGATTTAATATTTGTTGGGATTAATATAATCAGCCTGAAAACGTTCAACATTTTTTAAGAAAAAATGATATTTCTTGCAAAAATGCTAGTGCTGTATGCTATACTGGAACAATTTAGTGTGGGTTAACATTAATCAAGTCAATATATTCCTTGAGAGAAGAAGGGTATGTGCTCATTTAGCACAAACTACTGAACAGGAATAAAGCATGGAAGATCTTTAACTGCTAAATAACTTTTAGCATTGAAGACACAAGTAGTATGTGGTTTTTAATCCTAATCCTCATTCAAGAAATTTTAATAATTGATAATTTGATCACTGCTTCTTATTTCTCTTGTATCTGCATATATAGATACCTTCCATCCATTATAGAAAATGTTTTGTACACAGCAGCAATGAAGCTAAGATCATGACCGAGGTTTATCCGATCTTCAGTGCATTGTGTCTGCTTCTGCATAGTATTTCTAAGTGGCTGACAAAAGCTGTGCTTGCAGCTCATTTACACTCTGTACCAAATGTGATGTGCTTCTCTAGAGTGGTGAGAGTCATCCCTTGCACATAAATCGTGTGTAAGGTACTGTTGTTGCTGTAGTACTCTCCCCTCAGCTTGTCCCTGCCTGTAGGGAAGCCTAGTGACAGTAGAACAATTACACTGTCACAGTATTGTGAAAGGTCTGTAATAGGAGACATCCATAAAGTAATTTAGCTTCATAGCTATGCCAAAATCTTGTGCTATCCAGTAACTGCAGTAAAGGCAGACTAAAATAAATTGGGGGGGGGTTTTGCCAGATTTAGCTAGAAAATGTTAGCTGTATGATTGTACTGTTCTTTTTGTCTAAAATTTTAAGGGTTTTTTTAATATAGCATAATCCACAAACCTATTGTTGGTGCTTACGTTTTTCTGTAATACAGGTTGCTGGGTAAAACTGGACTAGTGGTGTTTAAGAGGTATAAAATTGCCATAAAGCAGTTCTCTGGAGGGGTGAAAGAGGAGGAGGAAGTAAGGAAAACTGAGGTTTTGGTTTGGTACTCTGCTGCATTAAAACAAACATTTTTTTTCTGAAATATTTTACAAAAAAAAAAAAGCCCAGGTACAGTGTAGCAAGTCTCCCACTGTTTAGTTTTGAGAAAAACTCTGTTCTAAGCTAAACAGTTTTGCAGTGTAGTTTTTCAACTAAGCAGGGTATTTATGCAAGGCCTGTTACTTTAATCAAAATTTTCTGTTGAGTTCTGGTACTAGAAGTGAGTTCTTCATGTTCCCTTGTTATTCCCAGTAAATTTACTTCATTTTTGATGTGTCTTATAGATTGCAGGTATGTAAGAATCCACATATTGCTGAAGAGGGTCATATCAACTGAAGGACAGTATTATGCTGGCATATCTGTGTAGACACTGTCCTCCAAGTGTCTTTTATATAATTTTAGAAATGAGTATGCATTTCAGTCGTTCGCAGTGTAAAATAGTTTCAAACTTAGGCTGTGTTTTTCTGAGAGGTCAGAGTAATTTAAACCCACAAGTACTATTTTTATCAACTGTGAAAGTACATGGATGAGAATAAGTTTAGTGCTTTCATGGTAGTATAGTACAGTCTTCCAGGTTCTTGGCTCTGTTCCTTGCTTTCACCAGGAGGTGGAGAAGAAAAGGCACAGTTCAAGGTATGGCCCATGTAATGACTAAAACCCTGTTAAAATTTCCTCCCATTGCCTTTAGGGAGGTATGTAGTGATGAAGTGTCATGGGAAGGAGTCTAGCAGTATGAGCCTAAGCACCTGAATACTTTCATTTTCTTTCCTAAAGAAATAAAGCTTCTACAGGTCTCCTGTCTTTTTCTTGTCAGTCCTCCAGAGCCCAACACCTGCCTTCCTTCCCTCAATTTTTGAAGCTCTTGGCCAAGTTGGTGCAGGGTTTATGAAACTAGTTGGTGCAAGGTTTATGACACTAGTTGGCCAGAAACGAAGTAGTGTGTGATATCTGTCATGGGGGAAAAGCTTATGCTCACCCTTTCTTAGATGTCTAAGCAGCCACAGGGACATTCAGCTGAAAAAGCAGCTGGCAGGAGGCTGTTCTTTCTTGTCCCTGCTACTTGTGCAGGTACTTTTTCCAGCAACTGACTCTGATTTTATGGAGTGCTTGAGTTCCTGAGACTTAATTTGAAAACAGAATTAGCATAGCAGGAACACTTGAAAGTTGAAAAGCTGCACTGAATGGAAACTGAATAGGTTTTTCATCTTTTTGACTTTTATCTGAGTAAGTTGTTACTCTGTGCAGTTGAGTGGAATAAAAAAGTTTTTTAAATAATCAACATTGATTATTTAAAGGTCTTATCTTTCTATTTGGCAACCAGGAACAAGGACATCTTAATTGCCTAGATGAAAATTCATGTGACGTGTACATCCAAAACTGATGTTCTGTTAGCTTATCAGCGGTCTTATTCTTTAGTAACATCCCATGTTGCTATAAAATACGATTTTACCATGAGCTTAAGTGGATTTAATTATCATTCACATATACTTACTGATGTTTGACAGAACTGTACATCTCAGATTTGACTGTGGATCTTCAACTTGAACTTCAACAAAGCCATTTAGACTTAGAAGTCCAGAAGTTAGTGCTTCTGTTGCAAAATTTGCTAGAAATAAGCTTCTTTGAGGACTTGAGGTTGGGTTGTGGGTTTTTGTTTTGTGTTTGGTTTTTTGTTTTTTTTTTTTTTTTTTTTTCTTCAGATTGTCTTTATTCTTTCATTTCAGGAGCAAGAGCTTAGTGCTCGAACACAAGCACTTCAAGCTGCCTCAGCCTCCTGCTCTTTCCGACCCAATGGATTTGATGACAATGACCCCCCGGGAAGTTGTGGACCCGCAGGTGGAGGCGGAGGGGGTGGGTTCAGTACTGTTGGTAGATTAGTTTTTTGACTGTGAAGACAACTGGGAATACACTGGTTCCAAAGCAGCCCAGTACTGCGGAGGACAACTGAAATATTGGAACTTTGTCAGATATTGTACCAAGTTTTGAGACTTGAGCCTTGTTCAAAAGCAAATGTTGGGTTTTTTTGGTTATGTTTTATTTGAAATAAATAAGCGCATAATGAAAAAGAACTACCTCTTAAAAATTCAGTTGCTTTTATAGTAAGATATGCCTGCCCAGAAGTCAGAAAATGAAGATTTTAAGTAGTTTCTAATGACACTGCGTTAAACTGAACACACACATCAGTTTCTCTTGTCCTCATCCACTGAATGAAGAAACTTCGTTTTTTACGCTGACGGTCTTGCTTTATGTGGAAATACTTACAGATAAGCTAAACTACACACGTAGTCTCTCCCCACCACCTTATTTTCAAATCCACTACTTTTATGGATTTCCAGAGACGATGCAATTTATAATGAAGGCAATAACTTAAATGTGACATGATACATAACTTTCCAGACTAAGAATTATTCAATATATTTCCAGTGTAAATGTAAAGAAGAAAAAATAATTTATAAATATTTGCTAAGTTGTTTTCCAAAAAAGTGCATGTTCTGTAGGAACAATGTTTTTAAATAGAAATTGTTAACTTTGTAGCATTTCTAATTGTTTTGAGGATTATAAAATTATTTCAGGGAATATATCTGCTGTGTATTGGAAAGGAGGAGATTCTGTATGTGCCTTGCAGTACTTTAACTTAAACTTTCTGAGGCTGCAGAAAAGGGGAAAAATGCGTTAGTCAATTATTTTTTTGTCAGTATTAGAAATCAGTACACTATAGGAAGCTATTAGGTTTCTGGAAGTAAAAATCTGCTAGTTTGAAATGCAGTGTGTTGCCCATTATTTTTTTTTATTATTTAAAAAATACATACCTAGTGATCTATAACTTTTGTGGCCTGCATTGCTAAGAAAAATCTGGTCTTAAGTCCTGAAGTGTGTTTGTGAAATCACAGAGAGGCTACCTGTATTGATTCTTGCTGAGGATCTATGCTTCTAAGAGTCCTTTGAAGTTCTGACTTCTGATTTTTCTTGTAGTGAGAAATTTCTGGTGAGTTGTGGTTTTAACTGTCTGCAGAAGACCAAAATGGTGCTTTCTGTGGAGCACTGTTTGCTTAATTGTTAGGCCAGCAGAGGTTAAGGATCTACTCTTTAAGTCTTGGCAGAAATAGCAACTTTGTTTTCCATGCGCAATGAGGATAACAGAAGTAAAGGAGTTACACTGTTGAATCTGGTGATTAATTTTTAACTTGAATAATCTTAGTGAAGTGTAAATTTATTTAAAGTATTTTTACAAAATTATGCACTGTTTTCCTGTGTTTTTATATTCTACTAGGTAACAAAGTGCATCCTTAAAAAGCATGCAAACCTGGCAGGTGTGAACTTAACTGTACAAAAATAAACACATTTCTTAGAAAATGCCTTTAAAAAGCATAAAGTAAGTTCAGAAAATTAAACCTTGTTCATATGTTATCAAATACATGGAGTTTAGTTTGAAAGTTAACTTAGCTTGCAAGCTATTTTTATATTATCACTAAAACTATGCTATTTGCTCTGCTATAGGTTCATATTCTACTGTTCAAGAAAGCTAGAGAAGCTCACTATGTCTTTAATAGTTCCCCAGCTTTGTTTTGACCATTTGTAGTACCTCGGCTTTGACCTATGCCTTCATTTCAGCTGTGGAAATGTGGAATGTTATGAGACTAGTGTGAGGAACATTCTCATTTCGTTGTGCTTGGACAAGGTTTTCTTTAAAGCTCACTTCGCCTTCCAATACTCTAACTTTCAGTCTAAGAGGGTTATTACTTCCTTTTAGGCTTCTTAGCCAGTTAGGTCTGGTTTTAAAACGTTTTGTATGACAGGTTAATTTGGCTTTTCTCTCCCAAACTATGAGGACATACTAAAAAGCTGTCTACTTTGTGCATTACAGTGGGAGTATTTTGTGTTTCTGTATCCATTTACTGTTCATTTTAAAACACTAGTAAATAAAAGCAGGGGCAGGTGTTTTTACTCTATATGAAATAATAATTTTTGTAAAGGTCAGTTTTGGTTTTATGTTCTCACAGTAGTAAATATACAAATTACGTAGCCTACCTAAAAATAACAGGCAGTATGAGTCTTGTATACCTATTGTACTATATTTCATGAGCTCTTTGAAGGCTTTCTACATCCTGTTTGTCTGTTCTGAACTAGGTGTTAAATATGGAAATTTTATACGAGAGTAATGCCAATATGATTGGATCTCCCTAAATATAAAATGATGGTATGTCTCAAACTGAAAATAACTTCTTCCTTTCCCCTTGTTGACTCCTGTTGATGCAGTCACTTCGGGTTTTACAAATAGATTTTTAAAACTCAGAATGCCTATTTGCAAGTCTGCTGACCTGACAACCATCGTAGGCTGATTCATACCTAACCTGAAAGGCTTCAATAAAACTAGTGAAAGTGGAGAAGTATTTCACGCTCTAAAATGTACATCTTTTTTCATTGTTTACAGTACTGGTGTTATGCATGCTCCTATCCTCTGGACATAATGTGAGAGAACAGTGTGCATATTTGTTGCCTGTGAGTGAATGCTGAAGTGTTTGTTTATTGACCTTTTTGGCTCCATTCTTAATTTGTTTTCTATCTAAGTCAAATCACTAGAAAGATACAAAATACATAATACTATTTCTGAAGCCTAGGTTTTGTTTCCTTTTATGAAGAATATAGTATTGTACGGAACTAAAGGATGACGTATCTTTTCAAATCAGATTTCCATTTATCAAGACTGGTTGTGTGTTGGTGTTTGTTTGAATGGCCAGTGGAGTTGTATTAACTTCCTTCCATACTGTTAATTTTGTACATTTTTTTCATTTGGAGCATTAAAGTGAATTGTTGTTAATGTCACCACAGATTACAATATCTACAAGCCCATTTATCCAAGATGAGGGGAGAAAAGGCTTCTTTATATAACTAAACAAATCACACCTTCTGGCTAGCTTTTTTTCCTTCCTGTTTTTTCTGCTTTGTTCCCTACTCTGAAAAGTTAAATATTTTATCTTCTCTATGTGCTGGAAGTATAATTTCATGGCTAAGCCTTTTCTGTCTGTAGCAGTAAGGTGGTTAGTGGAGTCAGAATACTGATTTTTTTTTTTATATATATATAAATGACAGGCAAAGGGCAGAAACACTGTGAGCTAAATGAGTGTTAAAATAAAAGCAAGTAGGTATAAACTTCCTGTAAATAAGATTTAGATTAGAAACAAAGTTCCTAATTACTAGAACTAATTCTGGAACAGCCTTCCAGGCAGAGGCCTGCTTCGAAGGAAGAGCCAGGTATATCTGTGAAAGAAATTAAATGCAAAGTGGTGTCTGAATAGTAGGCAACTAGACTTGATAAACCAGAGGTCCCTTCTGGTTCCTTCCTAGAGTTTTGGTCTTCTGTTGGGCTTCTCATCTTGACAGATGGCCTCTTCTGCTTTTAAGCTTCAAAGATTAAAGTATAAATGAAGGGAATGCTAAACTACAACATAACAAGAGCAACAAAGGTTGACTGTTCAATTTTGGGTGGTGTTGCCCTCTGATTTAGGAAAGTGAGGCGTAAAAATTGCAAAGTGGTGGAAAGTGGAAGCTAGGAAGATTTGTGACCCAAATAAGTGTGCTCAGTTTCTAACACAAGGGTGATGTCCTGCTTAACAATCTACTGTGGGATGTAATGGGTTGTAGCACTTGATATCATCAGTAGGCTGTAATCAAATGTAAATTATTGGACTTACTCAATGGGTGAGCAAATAATCTATGATCTAAACGAGATCAGAAGAGACAATCTTAAACTTTCATGTTCCCTACAGCCAGTCATCATAGGTCTACCTTAATCTGAATTCATAGCTATGAGGAATATGGTCTTAAATTGCATAGGTGTCAGGTCAAATGTAATAGTTAAGAACTGAAAATTGTGTGACTGGCTGTGTACGACACTGTGTTCTGCATGGACATAGGAGCTAGTGAGTTATCCCTGTTTCAGTGGGTTGAAGAGTCTTGGCCTGTGAGTTGAGCTCTGGCTATGATCAGTATACTGGCTGTGATGTGTAGTGTAGCACTGGCTTACCACATGCTTTTTATCTTTTTTCTAATGCATGCGCATCCCCCCCCATTCACTATGAGTCTTGCTTTTGCTTGAATGAAGGTATCCAGATCAAAGGGAAAACAAAACTGGCCAGAGTGAAGCAGAGATTAAAGTTTTTAAATACATTATGCTGCTTTCTTATTTAGAACAGAAGTATTTTTTCTAAGTCTGCTGGATTCTAGGCAGGTATGTGGATTTATGATACACATTTCTTGTTGCTGCTTTTTGCGGCAGGGGTCGTGTTTCTAGCAGTCCGTTGTTAAAAGTGCTGGAATAGGCATGTCAAAATGTGCGACCTGTGACTGGGCACCTAATGTCTTGCTGCCACGTGCATGGCAATGCCAGGCTACGTGCTGCTTGCTGTCCCCAGCAACAGCCGTCGGAGAACTGTGACTTGCTGGGCGGCCAGTTGGGACCTTCACCATCACCTGCATCTGCAGGTGGGCAGAGGCAGCCCCGGGGTGCTGCCTTGGCATGTCTCTCTGCAGCGGGGGGCCACAGGAGGAGTTTGGGGTGTGCTAGCTCAAGCAGGGCACAGTCCCCAGCCCCCCCGTCATCCCGCCAGGCCCAGAGTGGGTAACTCGGGGACCCCTTCCAGCACAGACGGAGACTGGCACCTGTGGAGTGGGTGTGTGGGAAAGGGGGGCAGGGAAGGAGAAGTGCTGGCACAAGACTAAAATGAGACTACAGAACTGCAAGAAGGAAAGGATGGCTCCAATCTGAGTTAACAGTTGCATATGTTTTTAACGATAACTTTACGTGTATCTGCTGTAAAGTTGTAACTTCAGTGTAATTCCACCAAAGGATACTCTGTCAACAATGCTTTGTTATCCAAGACTAATCCTTCTAAAATTTCCCTTATATCAGCATGGTTGAGGGGAAAAGGCCTCTCAATAGGCATGCTGAAAATACGCTACTGAGGAGAGTATTTCAGACTGACGTTACAAAACTAATTCAGCAACAAGATACGTGATTGGGCTAGCAGCTGTATTATCAGACAGCATCCTCAAGGCCGGCGGTTTCCAAACTTCTTCCAATTGCACACTCTTATCAGTAAAAACTTTGTGTGCATCCAATATATGTATATTTATTTATTTATAAATTATATATGTATTACTGTCGTAATATATTATGTACATACACAAGTAGAAATTGGAACAGTAAGAGATAAAGAAGAAATAAACATTATTTTTAAATTATTTAAAATTTTGTTTATTAATGATAATAAACCCACTTTCTTCTTGCACCCAAATGGGTTGTATTGCACATCCCCTGGTGTGCACGCACCTCGCTTTGGAGACCACTTCTGTGGGCTATATTGAAAAGAGTTTTAACTTGATGGGAACAGGTATCAAAATTGACCTGTTCACAATAATGGTTTCTTTTACTCAGTGAATATAGACTGTTATCATTACTTTATGCTGCATGACCATGTTTTGGATATGTGTTTATTCTGAATTCTTGTAATATTTGATGCAAGGGCTGTGAACTGTTTCACCATTTGTTTTCCTACAGTGTGCATTAAGTGACAAAAAAAGAGGTGTTAGCCTTAAGCGGTTTGCAGAGATACAAAGCCAGTCCAGTTCTGAGGGGAGGGCATAACTCTTGCCAAAAGAAGGAATGTGTTAGTACTTGGCTTTAAAGGTTAGTACCATTTTTCAACTGACTTGCTCTTTCTCAAGTGTTCTCTGAAGAATTACAATATTTAGTGCTCAACTCTTTCTTTTAAAGTTATTTAATTTTCTTACTGTATCTTTCATGGTGTTTATTCTAATGAACCACAACTGAAATAATTTTTGCAGTATGCCTGTTCTTAAATCCTGTTGTTGTAAAATAGCATAAATGTTTAATGGTATTTCATATCAGTTTTTAAAAATGGTTGGGGCAAATGAGTGTTTTATCATATATGTGCTGGGCTGCAAAAAAGTCAAAATATGTATATTTTTTTTGCCTTGGAAGGTGTCTGAAAGTACCCAAGTTTTCATGTGTTTGATTTGAGTTGAAAGATGGATATTCTAGTAAAATATAATGGGGAGATGGAGAAGAGGTGTTTAATTATAAATTGTATCTGTAAAGCTCAGATTGAAGCATCTCACACAAAAGCATGGAAAATAATTCAGAGCAGAGAACTCCTCATGGGCCAGCGAGATCCAGAAAACCAAGTGTAGGCAGTAGCTGAATTTCATGTGTATTTTGGTTGCAGTGATATGACAATGTTTAGTTTCAGTTGTCTTCTCAGTTGGTGTTGTTTAAATCTCCAAAGATGATGAAATGACCTTCAATTTGTTGAATTAATAAAGACTATCATCGTTGGTTAAAATGCAGCAGTTATCAATGAACATGGAAGGTATGGCATGGAAACATTCAGGCCTCTTGTAAATAAAGACAAGGTTCTCAAAGGCTGTTTTCAACTTCTGTGTATTTCTCCTCAAGTTTCCCCAGACTACAAATTAAAAGGAGGTTTTTGGGTTTGGTTGTTTTTCATGACTACAGGAATACCTAGGAAACTCAAACAATTAACAGACCGGTTAATAATCTGTAAATTACTCCTGGGTTATGAATTGTGTGAGAGGGAAGGGAAAGGTTTGGGTTGCCCTCAGAAAGTGTAGTTTGAAGTTGAGTCTCCTCTAGTTGGCTGCCCACACCTCCCTCTGGCATTAGAAACAGCTGCCTTTATGTGGTCTCAGGATTAAGCTTGGTACTGCCTGTGAGGATAAAATCGTGGGAACCTCCCCTTCATCCAAGACTTATTCAGACTAATTGAAGGATTATTCTTGACCTGAGCTGTTTCAGTTTCAAGTAACTTGAACCTGCTAACTGCCAAGGTAAAGGACAGATCAAGCTTTAACATAATAAAGGACCTAATAATAATTTCTAAAAATTTAATGCTTTGGCTCCAGTAGGAGCTGCTAGTTCTCTACTGTCCTTTAAAATCCCAGGGCTGCAAGAGGTGTTTCCTACTGATGAGACCATGAAAACAGCAGCTATGCAGAATTCATTGGGGAAGGGAATTGGCTGCAGTATAAACAAGCAACTAAGCAGATGATTTCATCATTTGGGTTTGTCTACTGTATTTTGCAATTTGGGGATTGATGTGAATGAATACACATGTGAGGATAATAAGCAATATGAATCTGAGGATGTGGAATAGAAAGCAAACAGGCCTTGAGTAGTTAGTTCCTTAAAAGTAGTTACATTTCTGGGGAAGAGGGATCAGTTCCTGGGATGGGATCCTATGTAGTGTCACTGTGATGTGCACGGCAGCCGACGAGTCCTGCTGCTCCCATGCTTTTACAGGGTATGTTAAGGTGGAAGGCATCTATGAAAAGACTGAAACATTATTGGTGCTTTAGGCTTGAAATGCACCCTCTCTTCATAGACAGCAGACTTGAGTGTAGTCATAGATGAAGAACATTTCCTTTCATCGCTGGTATGGAGGAGAAGAGTATTTCTTTCTGAAACTTCTCATTTCCTTGGGAGCAAATCTAATATGGAGTTTGCACATTGTGGTCAATATTACTTCTCCAGTTGTGAGCGCATAGCCTAAGCCACAAATTGGCAGAAACTTCAGGTGAGTTAAGTTTGTAACTGTTTATTTGACAAGGCTGCTTTTAAACTTCAGATCTGTTCATTCCCATATTATGTGCAGTCCCTTTTGGTACTGAGGTTGTGCTGAGTGAGAGAGACCAGGATGCACTAAAGAGTGGCAGCTCTTTCACATTCCCCAGCTCACATTCTGGGAATGGACATGAATGCTCAGCTTTGGAGAGGGGCTTTATGAAAGGAAAACAACCAGAGGATTTTAAAGAAGGGGTCAGAGAAGCTGGAAAGAAATGTGAGCAAGAGCTTCAGAGCGTGTGGGTATGCAAAGCTGTAGATTTCCTATTCTCTTTGAGACTAAAGAGATATTTAAGCAAAACCTTACCAACTTCAGGTCATGTATACATAAAGAAAAACCAGGTGGGAAAAAGTAATAGCAATCATTTGGTCAAGGTAATTATGACCTATTTGTGTTTTCATTACTATTTGAGCTAAACTATTGCTCAGCCTCCTATCCATCTGCACTGCATTCAAGCAAATTTTTTGAACAAAAGTAGATATTTTGGGTTTTGTCTTTTTAGCTTAATCTCCTTTGGAAATAGCTTTTTTTTTTTTTTCCTGACTAATTCTGCCTGATTTTTCTCCCTACTTTTTTAAAGGATGATGCGTGCTTTCTTATACAAAAAGGTGTGTGGGGGGGTGTATAATAAGAATTAGTCCAATCTGTTGTGATAGGTATCTTACTTTAGGTCATAGATAACCTCATCCCTGAAACCTCCTTAAGCCCAGAAATTTTTTTAGGATGTTCTCCTTGAGCTCACTGGGGCCCAGCAAGATTATTCTCTTTGCTCCCCTCCTACTTCTAGTGCCTTCATGAAAGACTGAGGGGTTGCAGCTGGAGACTCACTGGGTAAGGGAAACTGCAATATCACTAAGCAGGGAAAACTCTAATTTGGAGTGGTTTCTTGGCAGCTCTGTGCTTAGTAGTGGTTTTCACCAGTTTTGCCCTGTCTGTCTGGCAAGTCTTACCTTATTCTCCTCTAAACACATTCAGTGGAGTAAATTATCATGATACTTATGAACTGTTTACTGCTGTGGTTTCATCAGTGTTGTGGTCTTTTCTCTCTTCACATGTTCTCTCCCCCACCTAGTGTCCCTTGCAGTTGCCTTGTCGACTCTGATGCTACCCTCTCCAGGACACAGAAGGTATCTTTTGCCCTGCATGCATGTCGGTACAGGGCTCTACCTAACAGTGTTTATTTCTTGGTTAGCTTTTAAATACTACTGTGATAAGTTTAGTTCCAAAATGTATCAAACATGAGATAATAAAAATGCAATTAAAAAACTTAAAATGAACTATTGTATCTACATAACCTGACAGGACTTTCTGTAAAGCCTCCGTTTTGCCTGTAAAAATTCAGGCAAGTAGCAGGTACAACAAAAACAATTTTTTGTTTCTTCAACCGTTTAAGAACTCTTGCTAAGAAATCTCTATGCCCACTGGTAGAGAGAAATAGCATAGTAGTAGGTGTGCTTCAGGAATTTGTAGAGAATTGCGTGATTAAGAGGTTCTCACAAAGGCCAATCACTTCTCATTTTTATGCAAAGGATTGTGGTTGCAGGTGCTTGAACCATCAACACTTCAATGCCAAATTAGGTGTTTCTTGTTTGGCTCTGAATAATGCTGAACTACGGGGCAGCACAACCATTCTGCTGGTGATGGGACTTTGTGATTCAGTTTTGGCTGGGTGCTCTTCATTCAGATGGAGCCATAGGCACTCCTGGTGGTGATGGGGGTGGGTAGCAGAAATGTTGGCTTATTTTTCTTCACCTGGAAGTCACAGTGAACTAAGTGACACCACTTAGTCTGACTGCCAAGTAGAAGCTTGCCCTGTATTTGCAGGGTATGAAAAGTGATGAAGATTGTTTCCTGACTTCGAAATGCATTACTGCTTCTGAGGGCAGAGGAATTTCTGAAATGGAATTTCACAGTTGTTAGCTGTAAATTAATCTGTGCATATGGTTATAGTATGTGAAGAATGGGAAGCAATATTTCTTATTAAAACTACCTGGACTCAAGTATTCCTGTACAGTCTTGCCTGTTTTTTCTCTAACTGACCAACTTAATCTGTGTTTTGTTTTCAAGGACTTCAGCACATCCTTTGTTGCATCTCGACATAAGCTTTTTAACTTGCTTTGAGTAGCATAAGCTTTTATAAATGTAGTCCAAGTATTATAATTTAAATACAAGTGGTTTTACACCACTTTGTTACTGAGGTGCCTGATGTGCCATATTAATTTTGGAGCAATTATGTGTTTATCCAGTAGAGGGCACTGATGACACTGCTATCTTGTAGTTGACATTCCCATCAAATTAATCAGTGTTGGTTTATAATTTTGTGCTATGGAGCACTGGGCTGGGGTTGGGACATGGCTGAAGCTCTGCTCTAAGTAGTTGCAGGGGAAGCATGTAAAGCAGGAGCCTGCAGGAAATGCTAAACTAACACCCGTGGTTTGGAGTCGCAGCAATGCTTCAGCCTCTCCTGTGCATTGAACAGCCAAGTGAAGGCCTTTAGTGTGGATGTCGATCAGCATGCCTCTGAGTGACTGGTGCCAGGACTGTTGGGAAAAGTGGCTGACTGCTGGTGCTACAAGTATCTTAAAGGTCTCAAGGAAGCCAGTGGTATAATCCAGGTGGTTCCTGCCTCTTTGTATGTAGGCAAAAGCTTAGCAGCAGTGGCTAAAAAATATTTTCATTAATAATCTTTTAGTGTCTGCCATTGCTTCAGAGCCAAGATAACTAACTCACATCCAGCTTAGTTTACTGAAGCTGGAATTCAAGAATCCTTGTGGATGATGTAGCATGAGTAAGAAAGACTAACTTGTATTTGAGATGTCAAATGGAGTTTGTGGTCAGCAGTTTAAAAATAACAATCCCTTTACCCACTTTCTGAGAAAATTAGATGGAGCCAATGAGAAAATATAAACAGACCCATAAAAATGTTTCAAAATAGCTTTGGGAGAGTATCTCAAGTTTGTGTCCTGGGTAAAATGTCTTGCCGTGCTACACAGCAGTCCAACTGCGTTTGCTCATAATAGCTCAGTGAGCTATTAACCTTACTTCTTGAGCATGAAGATGCTACCTCTAGGAGAAAGACGGGTTTTAATTCTCCCTTAGGGTTATAGAAGAATTTTAATAATGTGACCAGTGTTAATTAATCTTCCTAAATATACAGGCAATCTGAAACAATCACACCGAGAGAAGTGTGAGTTATAGTAATTCATCTCAGTCTTGGATGAATTTAAGAATAATTGTCTGGAGGCAATATCTTTGTTACATTATTTGTAAGGACTTGAGGAAAAAAAGCAACAGACACAATATGAAGCTGAGTATGAACTTGTAGTATTACCTCTAGGCTTACTGTATTACCTGATGTTTGGTTTGAGTTCGGTTTAGGAGACTGCAGTATTATCTGAGAAACAACTCTCAATTTTTATCCTTGCTACTCTTCTTCTAACAGGAAAGATCCTATTCAACATGTGGGGAAAAAAAATCCAAGTATGGGTAAGATAGTGGATTTATCTAAATAAGTGTGACTTATATAATTGAAAAAATAGCATATTTTGATGTTTAAAAGTGAAATTGGTATGGAAAAATCTGCTTGCTTGGGGGAGAATGTTTATTGGTTAGAAGAATTTCATGTTTTTCTAAGTGAAAAAGGGTACTTCTAAGAGAGCAGTCATAGCTGTTGCTGGGTGATCTATGAAGTTTTGGGGTTTGGATAATATGAATGCCATTAATTAATGCAGCTGTCACATCAGTTAATTCTCTTTTGCTTTTAATTGCATTTGTCAGTTG